TGGCAAGAGATTGACCAAATCAAGGAAAATGCTCTTTTTTTCCTATCCATCACTCTGTTCATGACTAGCATTGGCTTCCTGTGTCTCCCATTGTCCTGTATTTTATTCCATGTACTGGGATAATCACAGCTGGGGGTGAACAGGAAATCTGTCCCCTTGTTTGTTTGGGTTTATTTTTTTAATAGTCTTGACTGTGAAGTACGGTGTGAGGCTGCGCTACACTTGGTTCGATGTCGGTCACTAGTCACCTTTCACTGTGGAATTTGAAGTGACATCTAGCACCTGAGATTATGAGAAGAATTCCATTTACCTTCACACACACACACACACACACACACACACACGAGAAACAAGGCAACAGAAAAAATGGGTAAAGTTATAACTATCTACGAATGAAGAAAAAATAAAAATGGCCAATAATCTTGTTCCACTCAGCCTCACTTGTAATTAAAGAAGTACACATCAACACATTGAGATATCTTTTTTACCTATAAGAGAAGCACACTAGAAGAACCTGGACGGCTCAGTCAGTTAAGCATCTGACTCTTGATTTGGGTTCAGGTCATAATCTCAGGGTTGTGAGATCAAGCCCCACATCAGGCTCCAAGCTCAGCATGCAGTCTGCATGAGATTCTTTCCCTCTCCCTCTGCTCCCCCTGCTCATGTGCTCTCTCAAATAAATAAGTAAATAAAATCTTTAAAAAAAGAGAGAAGTTTATTTAAAAAAAAAAAAAAGAAGAAGAAGAAGAAGAAAAACAAAAACAAAAACAAAAGAAGCACCCTAGTTGAAGTTAAGTAATAGGCAGGGCTGGAAAGGATGTGGGGAAACAATCATTCTCATACTTTATCAATGAGAGCCTAAATTGGTGAAAACAGCTTTGGAGGATGCTTTTGCAATATGCACATCACCTTTGCCCTGACCCAAAACTATCAAAGCATTCACCTATATACAGACTTGTCAGTTGAGAAAAATAAACCCCCTATTTGTTTAAGTCTCTTGTAGTCTCAAACACATACAAAATTATAGTCAGGTATTCTATTACTTGTAACCAATCACATTCCAAATTGACAAGTTAAAAAAAAAAAGAGGTGAAAGAAGACATCCTTATCATCCTTATCTTGCACTAACTTGAACATGACGTTTCTAGTATTTCCTCATTAAGCATGATACTAGCTTTGGGACCAAACTCACCCTTTATTTTTATCATGCTACAGAAGTATTTAATTATATTTTGATATACTGCTGGAATTCAGTATTAATATTTTAATTAGGATTTCTGAAAGAGTATTTATAAATGAGATTAATATGTCACTTCTCTTTATTATTCCCTTTTATTAAGATTTTATTTATCTATTTATTTATTTATCTATGAGAGAGAGAGAGTGCGAGCAGGGAGAGGGCCAGCAGGAGTGGGAGAGGGATGCAGAGAAGCAGACTCCCCGCCGAGCAGGGAGCCCAACCTGGGGCTCCATCTCAGGACCCTGAGATCATGACCTGAGCCAAAACCAAGAGTCAGACACTTAACCGACTGAGGCACCCGGGTGCCCCTTCCCCTTTTTAATGAGTTATTGTTATTGGATTTTTGACTGATATATTATTACTGCCTAATAAGAAAAGAATTCCAACCATTGAGGTTTCTTGAGTGTAAATGACTAAACTTTTTATTTCTATATATTGTATTTGTACTTTCAAATTTGCCTATTCTTTTTTCACAGTGCTATTTCTATCATTTTATCTTCTTTTTATCATTTTATCTTTGTAATTATTTTGAAAATAACTATTTTATAGTCTTTTTCAAATTGTTCTATTGTGTCGAATTAAGAGGCTAATACTCTTGTTTATTATACCTACCAATCCCATCCCTCATGTGGTGCGCTCCCTAGTTTATAATTTCGTATTATAAGCTCATCTTCAATGGGGGTTGTTTATGCTGCAAGAGATCAGAAGAAACAACTGGGTTTTGCAATCACTTCTGACAGGACCAAGGAGAGTCATCACTTTGGAACCAGCTTTGATATTCTGTGTTGACTTCAGGATACCCTCACCACATGGGTTGTGTAAACTGGGGCCTCACACCTATGCATGCCATAGCCAGCCTAGTGGTTTCCATTTCTATAGCAGACAACTTCAGTTCATCCAGAGCCCCAGACAAACCACCAACTTCCTTGCTGGGACCCTGGACAAGTGGGAGAATTCTTTTCTCCATCCTCTATTCCCTAAGATCTTCAGCAGGGTCCCAGCTGTGGGCAGGGGCCCCTGGTCCAGATCTCTGCCTTTCTAGAACCCAAGGCCTGAGTGAGTCCTCACCTCCAGTCAGCCATTTGGGCTTATTTAAAAGAAGTCAACTCTCCCGAGGTGCTTCTGAGTTCTCTCTTCTTGCCTCATCCCTAGCATTCCCCCTTTCTTCCTTTCAATCATTGCTCTTTTTTTTTCAGCTTTTGTGTGTTTGAAGCAGAGGGTCCCTAACTTCTTGGTCCCTCCTGCTCCCAGAAGCTGAATCTTTGTTCTTCCCTGTCTTTAGAGTAAGCACAAGGCACTCTGGAAACTACATGGCCGGGAGGGGGAGTATAACCTAGGCATGGTGGTTGAAGGAAGAGTTCCTGGGAGAGAAACTGCCTATTTTGAAGATCGAGTGCACCTTAGCCAAGCCAAAAAAAAAAAAAAGTGTGCATGCATGGAGTGATAGTTTGGAGAAAGAGGTGGATGACAGTTGCAGGAAGAAGATAGAGCACATGTGAATATCTATGGGATGGGGGCAGGGGAAAATCCCATATCACATTCTGAGAAGCACAAGTTCCAAGAACTGCACGGACTTTGGTGTAGGACGCGTAGTGAGATATGAGGTTGGTGAGACAAGTCGAGGCCAATTCATGAACGGCCTATGTGCCAGGTTAGGACAGTGGACTCTGTGCTGAGAGCAGAGGGGAGCCAATACAGGTGACCACCAGGACACACAGAGTGAAATCATCGAGTTTAAAAGAAAGACAAATCTAATAAATGTTCTTATATAAATATACACAGCCCATGAGAAATTGCTGAAACAACTTTACACACAGGATGACAATCCCAGAGGGCATTTAAGTACTAGCCTTCACATTCCAGCATACATAACCCTGAACTCTTACCCTGAAGATTATAAGGCAGTGTAGGGGTGCTCAGGTCAGTGTCCCTACCCTCCAAGAATTTCTTCTGCCTGCTTTGGGGGGAAGGAGTACCGCACCCATACAACTTGCAGACATTCTGGCAATACACAGCTCTTTCACAAATGTTTCCCTCGATCACCCAGTCAAGAAGGAAGAATTTCCGGGTGCCTGGGTGGCTCAGTTGGTTAAGCAAGTGCCTTCGGCTCAGGTCATGATCCTGGAGTCCCGGGGATCGAGTCCCACATCGGGCTCCCTGCTCAGCGGGGGGTCTGCTTCTCCCTCTGACCCTCTTCCCTCTCCCCTCTCGTGCTCTCTGTCTTTCGTTCTCTCTCTCAAATAAATAAATAAAATCTTTAAAAAAAAGAAAAAAGAAGGAAGAATTTCCTCTGCCCCTTAAGGTCCTTCTACTAGCCAGACCAAGAATCAAACTGACATGAGACAGATTTTTTAACAGGAGAAAATCAAATTTAGGTTCCTATGTAAGGGGAACCCACACAGACACAGAAATTGCAAAGACAGTGCAGCAACAGGAGCTAATGTGAGCTGAGGAGGGGGTAGGGGCCTGAGGATACAAAGGGGAGAGGACTAGTAGCAGGATGGTGAAAGGAAAAGTTTGGAAAACAAAACTTGCTTAATATGCAGAGAAGCTTCTTAGGTAAAGAGGAATCTCTGTGAATAGCTCTCTTCCTAGTGCAGGCAGGCAGTTGAGGGGGAGGTAAAGAGCTTTTCCTGAATCTACCCCGGGTTTGATTGCTTTTAATTCAAAATAATGTTTCTGCCAAATTGGCCCAACTGGGGGCAGCCTGCCCTTGGCCCCTACAAGCCCATTCCCCATCCCTCCCCACCAGCTCTGCCATAACTGTCCCTGATGTAAGGAAAGAGCTACGCGCAACAGCAGAAGCTTGAAAACAAGAGTAACCTGGGCCAGGGGCCAGGGGGCTCTATTTTTAGCTCTTTGTCTCACTGCCTGTTTATCTTTGAGACTCAGCCTAATGTCTTCCAGGCGAGTGTTAAAGTTACTTGGCTGCCTCCAAGAGGAAAGGAAATAGGTGATGGACCGTGTGTTCTCATCATTTCCCCAAGGTGCCCTCAGTGGCGTTTGACCCCCAAAGCCACTTCATGCAGGATTTATTCAAGCTGTGGCCGGCCACTTCTACCGACTGTGACACTGGAGTAGGTCTCAGGGGGAAAAGAATAGGTTATGGATTTCAGAACCCATTAAGGACCGCCAGGGTGGTGCGGCCGCTGTCCCTCCCGTCCTCAGCTCGCTCGCGCCTAACTGCACAGAGCGCAGTCCCACAACTGTAAACACGCTCTGGACCCTACAGCGCCCTCTACAGATGGAAGCGGGCGGCCCCCCACGCTCCTTTGTGCCGGGTCACTCCGAGAGAAAGGCAACCAAGCATCGGCTTATCGTTCAGTTTGGCGAATTATTTCAATCCATTGAAACCGCAAAAAGAGAAAAGGGCCGGCGTCGTGTCTCGATTTATATTTCCCTCGCGGGGACAAAAGAGGTGGCCCCGGCAACTCCGCCGCTCGTAAAACGCGCCGCGGGAAAACGCACTGCCGACTGGCCGTGATTTAACCCCTTCCGTTCCGCCGGCCCAGACCGACTTTTAAGGTCGTCCCCCCCGACTCCCTGTCCACCCGCACCAGTTGACTCCGGTGGCCAGAGCCCGACTCGTCCGGTCACCCTCCAGTTCTGCTGGCCCCTCTGGAGTTTCTGGGGGTCAATCGGCCGACCTCTGCGGCGGCCCCGGCTCCGAGCTTCCGCAACCCGCCTGGTCCTCCTTAAGAAGCTTCCGCAGCCCGGGGTAGAGGCGGGTGTTTTGTTCTTATAAGGAGGAAAAAGTTTCTGTGACATCCAGGAAATGAGTGACTCCGCCGCCTTTAGGGCCGCGCTCATGGAGGCCTGGAGGCGGGAGCCGGCCGGGGTGTCGCCGCCCCCGTCCCCCTAAGTGCCCGGCGGGGCGCTCGGCCGAAGCCGCCCGCGAGCCGCGGCCTCCGGGCCCTGGGGACCCGCGCGCGCAGCCCGGCTGGCGCGGTCCCTGCCGCGAGCCGGAGCGGGACGAAGGCCAGCGTAAGTCCCGGGGCGTCCACCTCGCGTGGCGGGGGAGGAGGGGCGCGGGGCGGGGGGACCGCGGGTAGGCGGCGCTGCGCCCGCGGTGGGGGCGCGCAGCGGGGGCGCGGGGGGCGCGGGCGGCTGCTCGGCCGGGCGCTGGGGTGCCTGGGGAGACCCGCTGCGTGGTCCTCTGCGGCGCGCGCGTCCTGCGCCCCCGCGTCTCCGCTCCAGCCCCGGCCGCGGACCCCGGGGGCGCCTCGCGGCAGCCCCGCGCGGCGGGCAGCGCCTCCTCCGGGCGCCCGAAGCGGGGCCGCGACGTTGTCCCTTGTGCCCGGCGATCCGTTACTTCGGACCCGGAGTGCTCGGGCAGAAAGACAGACCGGGTCACTCGGCTCTTGGGCCAGCCTGCTTCCCCCCCCGGAAGCAGGCAGGGGGAGTGCAGCTTGTTTTTTCTCGGTTTAAGGTAGTGAAGCTGTGGGGTTATGGGGGCGGGATGAAGCCTCCACAGCTTCCTCTTTAGCGACTCTTAGTGGAGGAGACCCCGCGCTGTGCAGAACTTTCTCGCGGCTACACAGTCTCTGCCGCCTGAACCTTAACCCCATCCCCACCCCTCCCCAGTGGCTCTAGCTTTCTGGCTTCCAGGTGTAGGGACTCAGAAGCCCCAGGGCCAAGCTTCCCATCCGAAATGCTCCTCTTTAAAAACCAAAATGCTGCCGAGCAGGAAGCGAAAATGTTTTGCTGAGCGACTCAGGGACCGCATGTGGCCTATGGCATCCTCTGCCTGGTGTGCGAAGGAACCTTCTTCAAAACTAAAAGAGCTCCAGATACTGGCAGATCCTAGACCCCGGCCTTCGGGATCTAAATCAGTTTGAGAATCCTGTTCTATTTTGTCGTTACTCTTTTGGATTTGACCCAGGCGCTTCCCTTTTACAAACCAGTTCTGCCTCGGAGAGGCTGCCAGGTAAAGCTGACCTGAGCCTGGTGTAGTCCCAGGTCCAGGCTGGCTGTGAAAACGGCCTGGCAGACGCAGGGAGGATTGCTGCCGTTAGGCTATAACATGCTGGGCCGTGCTCTGGAGGCCTCCTCCCAGCCTACGTGCCTAAGTGGCTTTCATTGTTTGCTAATTCCCTGTGCCGGCCACCGCTGCAGGCCAGTCTGCCCTCGTGTCTGCACTGTGGGTAACCATAAAGTGGTTAGACTGACTCTGCTCTCTCTGGGTGGATGGAAAGCCTTCTTCAAATTGCCATACCCGCGCTCCGCAATTTTCAGAGATGCAGCCGATTCAGGCTCTGGCTTTCAGGGGGCAAGGGTCTGAACTTTTAACCCGATGCCATCATCCCAGAAGTTGTCACCTTACCAGCAATGGCTCCCAGCTCCTGCGGTGCTCAAAGGGAAACAAAGAAGAGGGTGTGGGGGCGAACTTTTTATCTGAGGGCAAGAACAGGGAAGAACTTCTGGTAGAGGCTTCTGGCAAAGTTGCCCACCGGAGAAAGTACTGTCTGGGAGAAAACTGGTTTTGGGGGCGCCTGGGTGGCTCAGTCGGTTAAGGGTCTGCCTTCTGCTCAGGTCATGATCCCCAGGGTCCTGGGCAGGGAGCCTGCTTCTCCCTCTCCCTCTGCCCCTGCGCGCATGCGCTCTCTCTCTCTCTCTCTCTCTCTCCCTCAAATAAATAAATTTTTTTTAAAAAAGAAAGGAAGGAAGGAAGACAAGAAAGAAAAACTGGTTTTGCATTTTTCCCTTCTTGAACCCCCTGGGGTCAATAAGAGAAAGACAGTGGGGGATTCTGTCTGCTGGAGGGGTACACATCTCAGTGGGAGGCAGTGACCAGCAGAGCCCCTGGAAGGGTAGCGTTGGGCCACTGGAGGGCATGAGCTCAGGGCGCCATGCCACCTCTTGGAAGGGGCGGCACTGCCAGAGGGAACTGGTCCAGAGGGGAGGGGATGGCAGGGAAAGGGGGCTCTGCAAAGCTCGTCTTATGAGGGAGAAGGGCGTGAACCGGCAATAGTTGTCTCCGGGATGAGAAGCCGAGGGGGATGAGGCTGTGGCCTTCAGAAATCTCCAGGACTGTCATTTGAGAAAAGGAGAAGACTTGCTCTGTCTGACCTCAGAGACTCAGTGAGTAGGAGAAGCAGGAAGACAGGTCTTACTCAGAAGTGAGGAGTAACTTGCCAACAACTAGAACTCCTCCGTTGGCAATGCACTGCCCATCCCTGACAGCAGAGACAGCTGGCCGTCAGCAATTAGGAAGGCCAGAGTCCCTTCAGAGGCCAAAACTGTGGCTCCGTATTTGGGGCTGAGAAGTCCCCCTAGTAGGGATGAGGTATTAGTGCAGCCTGTGGGGTTTTAACAGACTAGTGTCCTAGAGTGCTGGGGTGCTGAGGACCGGTGAACTTATTTATGACTGAGACCAGTTTATCCCAGATAGACTGATCTCAGCCTTGCAGGGGAGAGGGATATGTTTGAGAATGCCAAGGGTTGTTAATAATAACAGCCAAGGCTGTTGCTAGCATATTCCGCTCCTTATGTGAATTAGAATAAGATGTACCTCTCTGCAAGAGGATGACACCTTGGTGACATGTAGGATACCACCTTGGGGCCTCATCTTGATAGACATGGCCAAGGCACATAGCTGGACAAGTGCATGTGAGCTGGACTCATCCTCACCATATCCTGGCCAGATGTTCTTGAGCAGTACACCACCTGTGCAACCATACACAGCAGCCATGATAACCAAACATTATTGAGGGCTTAGCATTTATTTGCCAGGCTTTTTTTTTTTTTTCCCCCAAACCACTTCCCTTTCATTAAGTCATTTAATCTTCATAGGAGTCCTATGAAGTAGGCATTGTTATCCCCATATAGATGAGGAAGATAAGGCATAGAGCAATGACGTGTTCAGGAGCCTGGAAGCTGAGTCCCAATTACTGAACATTCACAGAACAAGAAGCAGGTTAAGCTTTTTAAAAACATTTTTTTTTAAAGATTTTATTTATTTATTTATTTGAGAGAGAGAGTGAGAGAGAGAGCGCAAGAGGGGGTAGGGTTAGAGGGAGAAGCAGACTCCCTGCCGAGCAGGGAGCCCGATGTGGGACTTGATTCCGGGACTCCGGGATAATGACCTGAGCCGAAGGCAGTCGCTTAACCAACTGAGCCACCCAGGCGCCCAAGAAGCAGGTTAAGCTTTAAAAGCTAGTTTGGGGGGCGCCTGGGTGGCTCAGTTGGTTGAGCGTCCAACTCTTGGTTTTGGCTCAGGTCATGCTCTCGGAAGTCATGGGATCTGCCCAGTGGCGGGCTCCACACTCAGCAGGGAGTCTGCTTGGGAGCTTGGGATCCTCTCCTTCTCTCTCTCCCTCTGCCCCTTCCACTGCTTACATGCTCTCTCTCATGCTCTCTCTCTCATAAATGGATAAATCTTAAAAAAAAAAAAAAAAAGAAAGAAAAGAAAGCTAGTTTGGTTGGGGCTCTTGTGGAAGAAGGGAAGAGCAATTGCTTTTTTCTTTGTCAAAGGAAGAAATACCCACTCCGCTCAGATGGAAGAAAGATGGAAAACTCATTTGGCAGCAGAAAGGCGAGGAAAAAGAGCTCGCTGAGCCTTGATGGCTCATGGGAGGCCTGGCCCAAGTATCAGCTGACTTTCCTTTTTAATTGCTGGGCAGTGTGAGGTGGCAAATCCAGTTTGGGGCCTGACATGAGGGTGATGAGTAAGTGCCACCTGGGTGTGGTGCAGAGGGAAAAGGCCACAGCTACTCGGGGCCCCTGACCTAGGCAGGAAATGCCCCCAGGAGTGGAACGAGGTGGCGAGTGTCCAAACATGCTGTCCCAGCACTTCCCACCCCCCAGTCCCCATCTATTCCCTCTTCCCTTCCCTGTCCAGGCCCTGTTCACCTGTAGACGTCCTTCCCAAGCTGGTTCAGGAAATCTTTCCCCAAATTCCATTTCACACCTTCGTTTATATATGATCACTTCTTTTCTGCACCATACATTTTAGCACTTAATTAGCTGGAGTTAAACATGTTACTACATACTATCTATAGACAGTATTTTAAATAAACTAGCTTCTCAGCCGATGAGGATGTCTCAAAGACTCTTGGGAAGAACCAGCTGGTACCCAGCAGATTTCCCATAAAGGGTGGTATTTATGTGGATCATGTCACCTATCCCAAGTCTAGCTCTTAGCTGTTCCTACTCAGAAACCCCATCTCCACAATTTTCCGAGTGGTTTGGACTTGGACAACTGAGTCACTTCGAGAAGCTCCCAGAAGTGGGGGTGCAAATTAGAATGCTAGTTTTTTTAATTTGGAAGACTTGTGGCCATCACCATCATGCAGACTAGATGGTATCTGATTCCTGCATCCTGGGTGAGCCACATGGGAATCCAAATTTCCAGGCAGCTCGTGCTTGGCAAAGCAGCACAGGGAGGGGGTTGTCTAATAGCATGGGGGCTCTCTTGACTTCTGTGGCCCGCTCATCAGTGGAGAGATACCTGCCCGGTAGACCAGTACTCCAGTCAGCCTGGCTGTGTAGGTCTCCTTGGCCAGAGTCTCAGGGGCAGTGTTTACCTGATAGGATGTCTCCATTTCCTCTTGCATAACTTAGCTATTTTGATTTTACTTACTTAATTTGTTTAGTGCTTTATAAGCATTAGCTCCCAGCCACACAGAGTTTCATTTGCATAAGTTAACCACTACACCTGGGGGTAAATGCTATATGCAAATTAAGAGGACTTGGTCAGGTGGCCTGGATGGGTCAACAGTAAGCCAAGCACAGAGCAAAGAACATGGTCCCTAATCCGCACAGGTGCTTGGGGAAGTGGAAGGCCCCAGACTGGCCACTTACTGCAGGCCCTGTGCAAGGCGAGCTTGCCTCGGGTCAGCTGGCCTGCCCAGATGGCCTCTCTGGATTTAAAGGGCTCTGTGTGATCTCTGTCCAGGCCCCCTCGTGGCTCATCTTTAGTGAGCCACAGTCTCCAGGTGCCTCGGCATCTTGGGCTTCGGAGTAGGGTGGACTTGGGTGAGTCC